CACCACTCACCCCCCCAACAAGAATGGGGGTGTGATAATTCTGGGAGGTGAAGTCCATACCTGTTAAAGTCGCCAAAGTTGAGAAACGCTGGGCTCTCCTATCCGCCTGCTATTTCCCTGGAGGGGTTGCTCTAATTTTGGCTTAACTCAAGGAAGTTGCTATCACGATATTTCTCCCTCTCTCTCTCTCTCTCTCGCAAGCTGGTCCCCAACTCCTTAGACTTTAGAGCAGGGTGAGAAACGTTTGTAACAAACAGCAGCAAGCGGCTCGTAGAGCGCATATCCGACGACCCCTTCCTTCTTCTTTTTTCCTCGCTGCAACACTCCTCATCGTGGCTCAAGGCAAAAACAGTAGTAAAACATCAAGGCACAATTTAACCAGAACAAAAACAGTCGAAAGGGGTGGACACAATTCTGCATCGTGAGCCAGCCCTTGGGAGGGGGAAAAACGTTCTGCAAAGTGCCCAGCGTTAACAAAACGTTAAAAAAACCTTTAAAGCCTTCTCCAGCGCTCCTCCGGGCTGCTTCCATTTTTTGCAGTCCTAACAAAGCTGTCGGGTTTCTCTGCTCCAGGCACTGAAGGTAATTTGTGACTCCACCTTACTTGCAGAAGCCAGAAACCTACTTAGCAGCAGCTCTCAACAGAACAACTGAAGCTTGTCATAAAAACATAAAACTATTAGGTAGGAAATATGAAATGGGTGCATAAATTACCTTCTTCCATGCTCAGAGGCAGAGGCAGCCACCTCCGTAATGCCAAAGCACAGCCAGCCACGTGGGGCACCTTTTCTTTGCCCACTGCCCCCCAACTGTGCCAACCGCAAAGCACACCTGCTGCTCCTTTCTATTCCCCTTCTCTTCACTCTTTAGCCCAGAATGATGGCTCAGACGGGCTTGGTGATTAGAGGAGAGAATTAGAGGCGGTCAAAGCCCCCACAGCGGAAGGTCCGATGCTTCCTAAGCAAAACCGGCCTCCAGAAGCAGGCAGGCGTTCTGCCTGTCGGCGGGCTGGAGAGTAAAAGGGAAGGCAGTCAGTTGAGGTGCAAGGGAGAGACCAGCCTGCCCATTTATGGAGCCCGTGACCAGATGGACCCTTCTTCCGGGCCCTCCGTTAAAAGCCTGCAGTCTAACATGTGCCAGTGTGCAGGTAGCTCCATCAGGAAATGGCGGCTG